CACACACACACACACACACACACACACACACACACACACCCACACGCTTTTTCTCTCGTGACGTTTTTACATTTGTATTTCTATTACGCTCGAACAAGTGCTATTCTAGCTACATGAAACCTTCTCATCGCGAAACGCGCTATATATACCGCGTACATTCCGACGGGCGCAAGTCGAGTGGAAAAGAATGGCTGAAAACGCCGCGTAAGCTCCGGGATTTCTCATTAACAGAACCAACGCGTCGTGGTGCTCAGCTCGCAGCGTGCAAGGACGAAAGGAGAGCGCGATGGGAATCCTTCCCAATTATACGCGCGAATTCGCCGGGGAATACACCGGAACGATATTCCGAGATACCCGTACCGGTGAAAACTCCGAAAAAAGAGAGAGAGAAGCGGAAGCCGGAAGCCCGGTAGAGGGGCAGGCTAGAGGGTGGTGGAGCGGGGGTGAAGAGTGGGGGGGGGAGTGATGATGGAAAGAGGGTTCTGCTTTTTCGCTCGATAATAATCCTGAGAAGTTCGTGCTGCGTTTCCAGTCGGAAAGTCGCGAGAATAAACAGCGACAGATACGCGCAATAAAAATGCGCGAGTTTAGAGTCGCGAAGTTGGGCCGCAATTTCTTACTCGTTTACCGCGGGACACGACGAAAGTTAATCACTTAGTCCGGCGTTTTCTTCTAAGCGTATACGAGTTGCCGGCGAAACGAGATCAAAGTGAATGTTCACCGCAGATGCTTAACGGTTTTGAGCTCAATTTGCGAAATGCGATCAAAGCCGTATAAAGTAATTAAGTGTATGGAAATATAAAGTGCCATATTGCCGAGAGTATCCCTGTAAATCCGTATAACGGGCAGTATAACGAGGTTTTGTTATGCTCGGCGCGTCCTCTACGAGTCATCTGGAAGTTTCCTTATTGCCACTGAAACAGCCGTGATTGTTTCCGCCGCGATTTTCTCTTTCTTCGGCCGTTGTCTTGCTCGTCTTGGCTCGAACCTTATTCCATGAACCTTAAATTAAACCGTTATCCACACGAGACGTTGGAGTCACCATATTGTGTTATCCGTGAGACGTAGAATCGCGTTGCAAGAGATTTATGCGCCGCTATAATAATTCGCGATAAATATATCACGTAACGTGCGGCTCCCTGGAGTGGCGTGAGATAGTCACCGATAATTTAGAAGAGGTCGATTTCGCCCACCAGCGTGAAAATCATAATTTTCAGAGCTCCCGCCGAGAGCTGTCTGGCGAGAGCTGTCTGGCGAGAGTTGGACGATGTACTTTTGTTGTTCGTTATCGTCACAAAATATCTATATACAAGGAATATCCACGACCTAGGAAAAGCGTTAAAATGAGGGAAAATACGATGTAGCGCGTAAAATAGAAAGGTGTAAAGTAGTAGATTTGGATGAAACAAAATTATTACACGATCGCGCCACATTAGGAGACTAGATTTTTGCGCACACGCGCACATAATCAAATACATTTAAAATATTAAATAATTTCCGTTTAAATGATCACGCAGAATGGCAGAGCTAAATGAAAAGCGTGCGATGAAAAGCGACTCAGCAACAGGGAAAGAGAGAGGCAGGGAGGAAAGGGAAGAGAGAGAGGGAGCGCGCATTAACGCGCTCTTAACTTTAATGAAACGCTCAAAAAGTAGCGTTGCGGTACTCGAAAAAGTTGATTTCGCCCGGGCTCGAATATAATAATGTCCGAAGCAGGGCATTTTATCTCCGGGAAATTACCCGCGAACGGAGGTACACGCGCTAAAGTGTATAAACCTAAAGCCGCGCGGAATTAAAGGCGCCACTAATTCACGGCCGCAGTCCGTGAATTTCAACTTTATCGCGGCGGTATTGTCTGGTGAAAACTCGTTGTTGCGAGTGGGAGATAATGCGTGATATACGGGACAACGTGTATAAACACATGCCCGGGAATGCGCGGTGTGAACGTATATACTGCTGCGTATTAAGGATGGAAACGGAGAACATCGGCGGCGTTCGCGCGGTTAAAAAGAAACGAGCCGTGATATTTACCGCTCCGGCACGAATCGCTCCTCGAGATTTAAGGAACATCTGACGGGAAACGCGTCGGAATGTATAAAATAGTAAGCGCCGGCAATGTGAGAGACAGCCGTATTTCCATCGTTCATTCTCAGCGAGTCTTAGCGTTAATAGTTGTCACTTGTCTCACATGAGATACTCAGATAAAAATTTATTTAAGTTCAAATCTATACTTGAATCATTCAATACATGCGACATATTTCTAATCGCGATTCAGTTGAAAAATTCGACTCAAAGTTCCGTGTTAATAGTCGTTACTCGAAGTTTGTCTCACATGGAATACTCAGATTTTTATTCAGAATTAGATCCAAGTTTTTCCATTGCATGATACATGCGACAATATTACATTATCCGTAATCGTGCGATTCAACTGAAAAATTCATCTAACTCTGAACTTTTTTCTCTCAGTATAAAATATAAATAGCGCTGAAATAAAAGATTAGTCAATTATTACAGAATGGGGATTTGTTCGTCGGTCAAAGAATACTATAATAATTTTTATTACAAAATCCGTGTAACAAATAAGGAATTTCACGCGCATTCGATGTAAATAAAATTTACGAAGCTATCACGTATTTTCAAAAAGAGATATTCGCATGTTGCTATTTTGCATCATCATTTAACCGAAAATCGTTTGGTATTTTTTTTATTTATATGACCTCTATTAATGCGCGCGCAGAAATGTAGTCTACTAACATGGCGGTCGTGATTTTGTTTTACACAAATCCTCTTTACTCTTTTCTTTTCTGAAAAAAAAAAGAAAGACAAAGTTGTCCCTCTTGATATTTATTTGCATAGAATTTCAGCTCGACTTTTTCATGCCAAAAAGGCTTGGAGTGATCGAGGATAATTACGCAGGATTATGCGATGAAGTTACAGCGGTAAAACGTGGGTTTTATGTATATGTCTCATAATGATGCGGTGGAGTGTTAATTCGCGCTTCAAATGCATAAACTTAAAACTACAAAGTTAAATGCATTCCTAATTCGCGGAAGAACCGGCGAACTCCGTGTCTGCCCTTTAACGCGACGAAAGAGAACGACGACGGAGGAATGGAAAACCGGGGGTGCGAACGCGCAACCACCTGGAAGTGAGAAGCGGAATGAGGTAGAGGCTGGATTCCAGCGCCGAAACGTTCTCCAGACTGCCGGAAATAGACGTTTTGCACCGCGAATAACGCGACAGTACCAACACATCGCTACGAATGTGTCCGGACAATGCCGGACTCTCGGCTTTTCGTGCCGGAAAAGAGGAAGAAAGGCTCGGCGAGGATGCTCTTCGAGAAGAAGGCAGGCACGAAAGAGTGGTGAAGCGTGCGAGACATGAAATATGAAAAATTCTCGAAGCAGCAAATTATTTCTTGAAATATCAAACGTTCTTATCGTTGATATCTTACTTGAGGCGAGTCTTAAGTAATGACCGTTAATACGAGCCTGTAAGACACATTTTTTAATTTTTTAGTGTGTTTTTATCATGCTTTGAGAAAGTTGCAAGATTTTTTCCACAACTGAAACACGCATTTTAGTTGTTGGCGAGCATGATATAGTCACTTACAGAAACAGCGATCTGAAACCAGAAATCTGAAATCAGATTCTTATTTTACTCGAGTGCGGCTATCGTCTGATC